GCCCCCTGGGCTCTTTAGTGCCGGAGCTCCGCTCCTGTGCGCTCCTGCAGGAAATGACCCCTGGATATATGATAGTAGTAAAAATATTATTCTTACCGCAGCAGAAGAAGAGCCAAGATCTGGCATACGACTCAACGCCTGGATCAGCCCTAAACATAAGCCACTGAATGTGTCGCGTGGGAGAAGGGAGTGGGTGTGGCTTATTCCCCATCACTGAATTGGGCGTGGCTTGTGTCCCTCATCGGCTCTTGGGCTGCGGTGGCTCAGAGGTTAAGACAGTGAGCTGCAGACCGGAAGGTCTGTAGCTCGGCAGTTTGAGACCTGAGTGTGCCGCATGACGGAGTGAGCTGCCATCTCTGTCCCCAGCTCCTGCCAACCTAACAGTTCGAAAGCAAGACATTGCAAGTAGATTAAATAGGTACCGCTTCGGTGGGAAGGTAACAGCATTTCGTGTGCGTTGGCGTTTAGTCATTCCGGCCACATGACCACCGAAATGTCTTCGGACAGCGCTGGCTCTTTGGCTTGGAAACAGATGAGCACCGCCCCCTGCAGTCAGATTCGACTGACTTTCGAGCAAGGGAAACCTTTACCTTTTTTAGCTGGGTCCCTCCTTCACTCTTGGGTCCGGGCAGGTGACCGTTGGAGCTCAAGTGACAACACCCCCCCCCCGGTACAGGTACCATCTCTGGGGTTCTGTTTGCTCCCAGCATACCTTGCCAGGTACAACCCCTGCACACACCCACAGGCATGCGTGCATACACACACACACACACTTTGGGCTGCCACACAACACCTTTATATCTAGACTTTGCTCTTTTTCTGCACTTGAGCCCAAAAGGTTGCCCTGACTTCTCCAGGGGAATGAGCCCGGACTCAGAGGATCGGAGCAGAACGGATTTTAGTTATAATTTTTTCCTGTGCACTTTATGTGGGTGCTAGGTGCTACAAATGTATATATGTCTTTGTTGAATCTGATAGGTTAAACTTGAGGCTTCCTTGGTGCGTTTCCTTCCTCTGTACGGACGAGGCAGCGAAAGGACTCTCCTGGTTTTAAATGACCCTCAGCAAAAAGACACAGGTTAGTCGGGTCTTTCTTGTTCTTCCTATGTGTGGCGCAGAGAAAGTACTGGAGGGATGCGATATGGTTCTGCTGAAGGGGATGGCATTTGTCCCTGAGCCTGCCTGCTTGAGAGATCGCCTAGAAGTCGTTTATGTATAGATACCGGGGTTTTAAATTAGGGTTGCCGATTCTGGGTTGGGAAATTCCTGGAGATTTGGGGGTGAAGCCCGGGGAGTGTGGGTTTCGGAGAGAAGAAGAAGAGAAGAGGGAAGAGATTGGATTTATACCCCGCCCTTCACTACCCAAGGGAGTCTCAGAGCGGCTCACAAACTCCTTTCCCTTCCCCTCCCCGCAACAGACATCCTGTGAGGCAGGTGGGGCTGAGAGAGCTCTTGACAGAAACTGCTCTTTTTCAAGAACAGCTCTTATCAGAACTACAGCTTACCCAAGGTCATCCAGCCAGGTGCAAGTGGAGGAGTGGGGAATCAAACCCAGCTCTCCCAGATTAGAGTCCGCGCACTTAACCACTACACCAAACTGAGCAGTGAGATTCTGGTATCTGAAGAAGTGAGCGGTGACTCATGAAAGTTCATACCCTGCCACAAATTTGGTTAGCCTTTAAGGTACTACTGGACTCTTACCAGGCCCGTAACGATGATGGGGTATTTGGGAGCAGAGCCCACCCCGTGGAGGAGCCCTGCCCCACCATGGAGGATGCCAGACCCTAAACTTCTCCAGCTAGCAGTTGTTTGGGCAGACCTGTCCCCTTTGTATGTTTGTAAACTGGGCCGTAAGAACTAGGGGAGGGGCTGTGGCTCAGTGGTGGGGCATCTGTTTGGCATGCAGAAGGTCCCAGGTTCAATCCCCCACGTCTCCAACTGAAAGGATCTGGTAGTAGGTGATGGGAAAGGCCTCTAGCTGAGACCTTGGAGAGCTGCTGCCAGTCTGAGTAGACAATACTGACCTTGATGGACTGATGGTCGGATTCAGTAAGAGGCAGCTTCACATGTCGCAAAGAGAGGCCAGTTTGAAACAATAACCAAACTAGGGTCCCGGTCACACGGGCCAGAAAATGCAGGGGGGAGGCGTGGCTGTTAGCCCCGGAGCAAAGTAACGCGCAGCAGCCCGATCACATGTCCCGTCGAGGTCCCGCGGTTAGGCCGTTCGGTGCCAATCAAACGGGTATCCTGCAGCGCGGCAAAGAAGCGGCGTGGCGCGATCACACCGGCAATCACTAGGCGCCGCTTCCGTGGCAAACGGGAGTTTTTTTTCTCGCCGAAGTTTGCGCATGATCGTTTGTGCGCATCCTGTGGAGACTTACAAAAAAACCCCACATCCGGTTTGCAACGGGACATGGATGGGCGCCGGATGCCACGGGATTCACGCTGAAACGCGATCAGATGCCCGCCCTTGCCCTGCGTTTTCTGGAAACTAGTACCTCGTATATGGTAGTTTTTTACTCCGCATCTTCAGCGAGAAGCCACGGGTTAGCCACGGGTGCGCTACGCCTCCCAGATGTTCCGGTGTGATTGCGCACGGAAAATCCGCGGGACGATCGTGCCTCCAGTGCAGCAAATGCTCCGTGTGAACGGGGCCTAGAATGTTTGAACCATTTGCTGCATTCCTCTTCCTAAACCTTCTTTCTAATGTTTAGGGGAAAGTTTCTTTTTTGAAAACATTACTGTATTTAAAACCTTCAAAACCAGGGACCTGCTGCTTTAGAAATTCTTTTAGTTAGTTGGCTCCGCCCCAAGTGTAGTTAGGTTCTTTTAATTCTCTGGGCTATGCCTGGGTTTTATATGTTTACTGATTGTGACTATGTACTTGTCATATTTTATGTCAATTTTATGTACCTATTTTACCCCTTTTGCATTCTCTGTTGGTCAAGACTTCGGTCATATAGACCCATAATAAATTGAATTGAATTGAATTGAATTAATAAGGACCACTCTGAGGTTAGATCATCTATACTTCAGTAAGCCAGTCTTTCCCAGCCCATTGGATTAAGCCTCTTATATGGCCTGCCTTTAGACAAATGCAAATAGATTTGGTTTCTGCTTCCTCTTCCCCAAATGAGAAGTTAAATGCAGCCTTTAAAAGGTTAAACACGGCAGTCCTGTGGTCCCAGTATTACTAGTGGCCACCAAAGCTGGAATGACATTGTTGTAACATCACTATAATGTAGTTGGTCTCCCTGCATGGAAGCTGGAAGACAAACCAAAATCATATCACTTTAAACTATAGATAACAGAGCAATGTCCTGAGAAGCCCTTCCACTTGCGACATGTCTTCATCTATATAACTCTTCCCCTCCTCCCTTCTCTCATACTTCTAGTTGCTGTTGTGCTGCCATAATGATGTCTGTTATCTCTTGATGGGTTTGGGGTGTACTTCCTCACAAACTATCCCGTAGCATATGCCTAGCTAGTTCGTAACCAAAGCCAGAAAGCCACCGCACCATCTTCCAAAACCTGTTTCAAGGACATTCACTCCAACATGGACACATAAAGCGTCATTCTACCGAATCAGAACATTGGTCCATTAACGTCGGTATTGTCTACTGTGATTGGCAGTGGCAGCTCTCCAGGGTCTCAGGCAGAGGTCTTTCACATCACCTGCTGCCTGCTTGCATTACTGTCTCCCTTACTAGTTTAGATCAGTGTTCCCTCTAAGCTGAGTTAGTGTGAGCTAGCTCAGCAGTAGCCAAATTGCTCACTCAGAACTTTAATGCCAGGAGCTCACAAAGTAGAATTTTTGCTCACAAGACTCCACAGCTTAGAGGGAACATTGGTTTAGATGGATGGAAACATGGCAGAACATACATATTTTATAATGTGGGTGGGGGGGAGTTACTGCACACATGCTAATAAATATTCATGAATCCTGTGATAGAGAAGAAGAAGAGAGAGAAGAGAGGAAGAGATTGGATTTATACCCCGCCCTTCACTTGGAGTCTCAGAGCGGCTTACAAACTCCTTTCCCTTCCCCTCCCCACAACAGACACCCTGTGAGGTGGGTGGGGCTGAGAGAGCTCTGACAGAAACTGCTCTTTTTCAAGGACAGCTGTGCCAGACTTGTGACTGACCCAAGGTCACATCAGCAGGTGCAAGTGGAGGAGTGGGGAATCAAACCCGGTTCTCCCAGATTAGAGTCCGCA